AAGTTTGTTTAACAGCCGCACCTGACCTATTCGATTTTAAAACTACATTGGTCACCTGTTCAACAAATTTGGCTTCTGGGTCCATCCAGGTTGTCCATTTGAACTGCCTCCGTCTTCCACACCTTTTCCTATCAAGATTTAGCCACTACCCGTAGTCCCTTAACCTTAACACATAACTTTGGTCGTGCCGCTGCAGGATAAACAGATCAAAAAATATCGGAATTTTTGAAGTCAACGAATGTTGAAACGTTTTACTTTCTACAAATTTTGATGTCGAGAAATGGGAATGTGGCAATCGTACGCTACGCACTTGATCGTCGAATTAGCATTTAATGCCGCAACATAAACCGATTGAAGGTTTAAACGATGCGCCCGTTTTGTCAACCTACTTGGCACATCTTGCATGGCTTCACTCTTTTCAGTGAACCAGTTTTTAATGTGCTCCACTTGAAATGAACTCTGTTTTTGAGAACTGGATAAATCAACCATCCGAGTATAATAAACACCCTTCACCAAAGTACACCCCATTANATTAACGCAGCAACATTAGACAATAATAATAATTAAGACGGTTGAGGCTTAAGAAATACGGGTTTATCTAATGCATGATGGGAAAAGGTATACTACAGGTCTTTTGCGAACGGTGTTTATTATTCTCGAACTTTTAATGCGTCCATCTCTTAAAAATGGCATTCAACTTACGTGGATATACAGTACTGAAACATCCCATTTTGTATTGCATCACTTTTTGATTCATGTCAGGGCTTTTGAACGCAAAACTATGTATCGTTTGCGTTACATTTGAAAATTTTACACATAAGAGCTTCGCTCGTTTTACGGAAACACTAAACCTGTACAAGATGTGCCAAATGGGTTGACGAAACGGGCACATCGTTTAAACCTTCTCCACTCAATATGTGATGCAGTATGCTACCATCACACCTCATTTCCTAACCAAGCTTTGCAACACCAACATTTGTAGAAAATAAAATGTTTCAACACGCGTTGGCTTCCGAAAATTCCGATACTTTTTGATCTGGCTAGCCTGCAGTGGCACGACTAAAGTTTGTGAGTTAAGGCTACGGGACGTGGCTAAAGCACTGCAATTTTTGACTAAAACTTGATGGAAAAGGTGTAGAATTGTGCCCCCCCCCGACAAGATAGTCTTTTATCAACTTTTGGTTCAATAATTGCTCTGAATCTCTTTTTCAGATAGTTGTATATTCGTTTCAGCTATAAAGAAATTTATTCATGTATAAACTTCCACATTTCTTCAAATAGAGTTGTACAATCATCCACAGAAATGTCGTTATGGATAACCCATTGGGCGGTGGTGACCCGATGGTAACGCCACCAAATTATTTTTTCGAATCCCCCACCACCACCACCGCCTGACTTTCCCCATTGTGTGTTGAATGACAGCCCTTTGAGTGTCCGCTTCCCCTTCCTAAAAATTGTATCTTTCAATATTCCATAAAATAAAGTAAAAGAAAAAGACCCGAATCTTTCGAGCTCATTTCCTAGACTGACCTCAGTCTCTTCTGTCCAACTGTAAACTCGTATAAAATGAGCAATCATCGTCTATGCATTCTGTTCGTACTGCATTGGTAACGTAGCTGTCAGTGATTCTATCCAATCTCTTCTTCAGTCAAGTCACGACCCAATCCCAACTAAGCACTGTAAAGTTCCTTTGATTGTACCTTGAATAAGGACGTCAATTTATACGTGCAAACGGTTCTTAAAAATTTGTTAATTACACTATATAGAGTTCGGAGATATGAAGGCATATCTGTGGAAATCGTTGTTTGATCTGTTATTCTTTCTGTAAGATAATGCATTTTTTAGGGCGACGATTGCTAGGAGTATCTCAGGGCAGCAGAATTCAATGATCTATACTTAAAATAAAGGAGGGCATTAAACTGCTTGTGTTCACCCGAAATTTTCGTTTTTGGAAAATATAAATACCAGGAAAGCGAGAAGAGATCGAAGATGCATGGAAAGTTCGAGTGAGCCTAACGACCAGCAGAACATGGAAAATGTAACAATTTCATTCTGCTGAAGAATGCTCGTGACTGCAGCTTCAACAAAACCGTGAAGTGCCTTGCTCAATTATTTGGTGAACAGTGACCTGTTTTCAATAAGATGACTACGATTGATGAAAAATCAAGCTGACGATTATGCGACGTACGCAGACATTGTCAATCAGGAATACAAAATAATTCACTTTAAATCTTTAGCGTCTGACCAATTCAAATGCCTCATATTTGCTTGTGGTCTTCAGTCATCACGAGACGCAGATAGACGCATAGATATAAGTGGCAATAGGACGAATTTATGACAAGAAACAACTGCGTAAACGCTGCGAACAATACGACCGTACGGGTGTTTCATTCCATCAACAAACCAGTTCACTTCGTAAACGTTTACAATATCCAAATCTGAGGACCTAATCGGAATCTAATCTAAGTCGAGTGCACATGAGGCATCTGATTCCCAGTGTTACGTCAGATTGATGGAAAACTATGAAGAAACGAAGCGAGAAATTTGGTTGAAAGATTCTCCCATGAATCAAATTCGTTTTCTTTATCATCAAATGAAATCGTCGCCCTGATGATAGATCGGATTTATTCAACTCAACCACACAGTGAACAATACGAGGATTCAGATCGTTTGCCACTGGAGGATAGATCGAGGAAACCGATACAAGTCTCACCGTAGAGAAAATCAAAAATGGAGATGTTGGCCCAGGAAAAAATATTCAGGTTCCTGTTAAGAAATGATACAGAGTAAGAAGAAACACTTGCAACAAGCATTCAAAGGAACACCAGTTTTATGCACAGAAGACAACATCAATTAGAAAATAATAAATTCAAAAGGGACTATGCACAGAAAGCCACCTCGCACTGTTTGAAAATGAGCACAATAAACTAAGGAACATATGACATCTGTACTCAAGGACTAAGAGACCATTTTTCTTTTGTTCAAAGCGGACGATGTCAGCATCCTGTCTGAGCAACGGCTCGAACCCAATGTACAGCTAATGCAAATAGTATCTTCCGAATGATCGAACAATCCCTTGCTGGATCGACTAATGACCACCTTCGCACGACTTCCAATGTGGATGAGGACTCACCTACGTGGGATCAACAGAGTGGAAATAACACAAGCAGACCGTTGACCAAATTTCAAACACGGACACGTTGGCACATGACGTAATCTAGGCCAACTCAAAACCGCCGAGCTAAATTTGAAGTCACCTCCGTGAGAAGCACTACCGATTGTTCCACGTCTACGGATGGCACAATACCAAGCTGACTGGAACACCTGGTTCGGGTATAAAATGTAAATTATAATACTGCCAAATTTTGCAGAAGCAGTTGCATTCAATTGATACCGTCTCCCTATCAGTAAAAGAGACGGTTTGTCAAATTGTCCCCTNCATAGTAATATTATGCGCTATGTGGTTTGCATACTGTTGTCTGCAACCACCCTCGTTGAATGAATTTTCCCGCGGTAAATGAGCATTTGGGATGTAGCAAAATGGCCCTTGACGATAATCGGACAAGATAATCTCGAAAGAGCTTGTTACACTTCTGTTTGACCAGTAACCCCACAATGTGATTCGTGCCATTGTCGTCACTCCCCATCTATTGAACCGAGTCTACCAAAACAGTCGCCAATTCGGAATGAACTGTTCTCTCCATAAACAAACCCAATTACTTTGGATTGAGTTGCCGAACCAGAATTGAGGTTTTAGTTGACTGGATGTCTGAGTGTTCGACTCCCACGGAACACCATAGAATTGACAATTGATCGCGCATGAGCGAACCCGATGATGACTGACCTCAGTTGATCACGTAGAAAAACAAGTCGCGACATGAGCCGGTTCGATCTATAGCCTGGATAACTTCCTCAGCGAAATTCCACTCAGGTCGAATTACCCAGGAACTTCATCACTCGTTTTTGAACTATAAATTCAAGAAAAAGTCGAGACTATTGATTGTTCGGCTTCTTTTTTTTTGGGGGGGGGGGTACTCAATGGCACAGTTCACAAAAGGTTTAAGATAGACTCTAGGATAAAGAGGCGGGTATACTTCTCGTGAACAACAAATCCAAACTTAATCACTCAGATTTACTCGATATTCAAAAGATTCACATCTGCCAAGCAGCAAGGGACTGACCGCATTGTATATGAGTAGTGTGTTGCATTCTAAAGTTCCTCATAAGTCTGGAGACGGGATAGAAAAGTGGGCTTCAAATTGAGCTGGTAAAAGCGTGAACAAATCGTTTTGACCACTTCACCAGTAATCCGGAATCGTGCTTTCGAAGTCGCTGTTCCGGTCCAGGTCACGTGTCTTGTGTTCTGTGAACCGAGTAAGTCCGCCAATGCTCAAGTTCCGTAATAAACTGTTCCATAGCCTGGCACATTAAATGTGGATTTGTACTGTCACCCGAGGAACAAATGAAGACCAAAAAGGATTGGGTGCGGTGGGAAATTATTCATTTCCAGTTGCGAAGCTAATGCTTCCTGAATCCACACAAGAATTTAGCAACTATGATAATGAAAATATCCACGATACTGCTATTTTTTCGCAAACACAAAAGATATTGCGCAGCAACTGATTGGCGATATCGAGAACGATTGTCAATGGTGATAAAACCCCACGAAGAGCTCCAAGGAATTTTCGCGCGTGCAGTATCCAAAGTATAGCGATCGAAATGCGTTAAAACGAAGGAGTCGGAGCAACTGAGCAGCGCTTTTCATGGTCACTGTTGTGTCGATTGTGTAACTACCCAGAAATTGAAACAATTTTCCCTCCGCTCTATCCTTTCTAACTCCAACGTCAAAAATAAAAACAGTTTCGACAAATGTCTTGGGACAATAACCTTTTCAAATCAAAAAATATCAGGAAAATGACTGTTTTGTGTACAACGGGATCGATAATTGAAAATAGACCGCTTAGAAAGAATAAAATGGAGAATATTCTGAACCCAAGGAATCATTGTAAGATTCGCCGTTTTCCATCAAACACGTGCCGCTTGAATTCCAAAATCACGTCAATTTTGAATCGATCCTGACCGGATGCGACACTGGCTGAATCGCTGTTCTTCTTTGAGGTTTTCCGAGAAAACTGCTGAACAATCTCATCGGGAAGATCATCTAAAACGGGATAATTGAAACGCGAAATAGCCGAGAAGTGGAAACAATAGGCTTTAAAAGAATAGCGATAAAAAACAACGTCCCGAAAAGTTATGAGTGCATTAAATACAAATAACTACAAAAAAACCCTGGGAGTTTTGTATCGATTCAATTGTGAGTGGGACACGAACTCACAACGAGTGGAGGGGTATGCATGCGGCACCTGAAAGGACGTGTCATGATTATCCTGTTGCCCTGTTAGCGGAGCATGCCTGTTTCGGAGTTGGAACCACTGAACTATATGGGAATACATCACCACGCTTACAATCAAATATCTATATATATCCATTTATCACAGACCCTGATGGTTTGAACAATATTTCCATTTTGGTTCGAACACACCAACTTAATTGTACCGTTTATTTTGAAACCGCCAACTGAATACATCTGTAGCGCCATCACGACATCTGACAGTTTGTGAAGAGTCGAGCGCATACTGCAGGAGTGCGGCTAGAGCTGCTTTACAGTGCAAAGACTTGGTGATTACGGGAACAAGTTAAAGAGTAATTGTCGGCGTGACGGTTAGTTGTCCCGACTAACTATCATTGAAGATGACACCTGGAAAAACACAAAGTGACAATCCTGGGTAGCCTTGATGTCAGCTGCTTGGCACAGTGGCAACACCCACACATTTTATGTAATAGATCCAGAGTTAAAAGCCGGGTTGGGATGTGGGATATGCATTACTGGTTAGCTCTATGTGAAGTTCTTTGCATGCGTAAGTTGCCGCATTACCAATGTTATAATATCCGAAGTTCGGTGCAGGTTTCGGGAGAGTTGTATTCCAAGAACAGCATGGGAGAGTGTTACACAGAACGAACTATCTAATCTGCAACAGCTCTTTATTATTTCCGTAAACGCCTTTTACTTGGTGATCTTCAGCCCGCTAACTGTCTGTTTCTTCTGCTCTTAGAATAAAACAATCCTTTAATCCATTCAGAGATGCTGTGAAAGACCAACAACCGCTTCCTTATGCAAACACACTACTCAGTAATATGAGTAGTAACTCACAATGCTTCTATTGATTGTTGTCAGTAGTCAAACTCTGTTCCCAGTTTTATGCTTTCTTATTGCTTGGCTCTAACATGTAATTTTAGTTTGTAGCTTGATTTGTTCTGCGCACCACACGTTGACGCTATTCCTAGGAGTGCTAGTTAAGGTACTTCGAATGTACGTTTCCATTCGATTTCAATCTCTCTGTTTGTCATACTGTATGTTAACGTATTGGTATATCATTACAGAACAACTAGAGACAATAATCCGAGAGGATTCAACTCTCTTCTGACATTGCCATTAACCTCGGCGCGCATATCGTGGAGCAAAGATTAGCAAACTGCTGTAGATACCATTCGCGTATTAACACTCAAAGTAGAACGAAACTTGAGTCCGGTGCTTTCCGACTGTGCATCAACGGAGAATTCTGAACACGGAGTCTGAAGGACGGTCAATCAAAAGCGATATCCAAATAAGGAAACCAGTGAAGAGCCTATCGTTGTCGGGACGTGCTGTAACGCAAAGTCTTGTGTTTTCCCAACGAAGCCCTGAGATTTGTTCAATGGTATTAAAAAAACGAAAGCCTCATTGCACAAGCACCATGACTCACCGTTAAGGACTAGACGGCACTTGCCACTTTGCCCAAAACTGGATTCAATCCGACCATCGTAAATTCTTTGCTGCTGTCCTTCATCTCCAGTCCCATTAGACTCCTTCGGCCCAATCAAGAGATATGCACGAAGGCCGACAAATATGTCCCAATTGGTCTCGCGCTTGAATAGGCCGCGCACGATACATGTCCGCGCATCCTGTATGCGTTCAATTTGGCCCTGACGACGCTTGGGACGAAAAACCTACATATAGCAATAAAATAAAAGTGATAGGCTAGTGTGCGCAGAATGGAAGAAAAAGATAGAACAAACAATAAAATCAAGATAGGTCAATTGAAAATTCAGTCGGAATCAATAATTAAAACTTCACAATAGGAATTTTAATCTTACTACAAGCACATCAACAGAAAGTGAACCCAGTCCTAAGACCTGTTATGAGAATGTTGTGCCAATTTTCATTTGGTTGAAAAGCACGGCAGGAGCGGTTGCTTGGGGTTATGAACGAATGAAGCATACGAAAATGAACGGGGTTCAGTAACTCATCACGTGACCAAAGGATGTGTCGCATATAACTTATACTCTTTCTTGCATTGGTCATCTAAAAACAAATTATCCAATGATACCTTGCCAATAGGGACGATTGTCACATGAGTTATCTGGTAAACTAACTGAACCCAGATGAGTGTGCAATGCGTGTGTATGTTGTATGTTGACTCTTTAAAGTTACTCAAGATTTCTGAAGATAGGTTCACTCGAAGTGCCCGTTTGCCAGAATTTGCTTCAACTCTTTAATGCTGAGCGACTCAACTTTTTATTTCATTTTCATTCCTTTTTATTGAATATATAATGATACGTAAAACATCCTTTTCCGTTTATCCATTCCATCAAAACAAGAAGACATATGTGGTCAGAATCGATATTGACCATCAATTTCGCGTGCTCCCATTCAGTTGTAAGCGCACATTTATATGATCATGTAAAACGAAAGAAACGTAAGAGTTGAAATCAGTCATGTGAACAAGGTGGTGGACAGGTGAGTCGCATGATTTGTGTTTGGTTAAGGGTTGATGACAACATTTGATATGGAGGTGAGCTGGTTCAAACGATGTGGTGAATGTGGAGGGATGGCATCAAGTGTGACATCATCTCTTCCACGGCACAACAGTTGCGTCACAAATGTTATTTGAACACAATTGCGGTTTCAAGCAATGAATAATTATCGCTTCTAAAAATCACAAAGTCCGTGAACTGCGAGGCCTCTCAATGACTCGAAACGCTTTGGGTGGGTCGACATGGAGACCGGAGTCTAAGAAATGCCGGGCTATTGCGCTAAATGGTAGTCACCCCCTCCCTTCCGCGAAGACCAAGGTGTTTCGGAACATGTTCACATTCTGGTTGATAAACAACGTTCTGTCCTTCCGATGTTCCGCTGACCGCAGGCTCATTGAAATGGACAGATACGATTGGAGGTAACGCTAACGTCTTCTCGCTCCAGATTGGTGTCAATGATACAACAAAACGTCCCGTAGGCAATCATTGATCTTGCTGCATTCTACTTTCATTCCACAGCGTGTGTTAAACGATGAGATATCTTTGTAGTCACATCATCTCCCTCGAAAGTTAGTTCTACATAGACATCTTTCTTCTTAGTCAATAAGAAAATAGGCTTGCGGTTGACCGGATTGTTGTAAATGAATGTGATGGGATAACCATTGTCTGGCAAAGCATGGGTCAAACGGTCTAGTTTATCTGGCAGGACTTGCGGGCTACATAGTCAGCGAACCCGATGAAATACAGTATGCTGCAGACTACGCTTGTATCGCACAGAGTAGAAACTCTTGAATTGTAAATACAGTCCTGTCCAGGTAGGCTTTCTAAACATAGATTTGTAGTCTCCATCTGACAATGGATTGAGTAGTAAGTAAAAAAATGAAAGTTTGGATTCTAATTCACATTCTAATGTCAATTTGATGTTGGAATGCAACGAGTTCAACTTGTGAAATAATGTCCTAATATTTATTTTTTTGCGCCCAATAACTAGTGTATCATCAACATACCGTCGATATAGTAGGGCCGAATTCAGTTCCTCTTCCAGTTTATTTTCTGGTGTTGACAGGAAGATATCGGCCAGAATTGGCTCCAAAGGGCCGCCAATCAGCACCATTAACCTGTTTATAAATACTTCCGTTGAAAACAAACTGTACGTCGCGAACGCATAAATCCAATAGGGTTTTCAAGTCACTCGCGAGGAAATCTAGTTTACTGGCATGTTTACATACGTCGTTCATCACTTCCTCGACCGGGTTTTTTGTGAAAAATGAAGTAATATCGTAGGAGGCAAGGAAACAACTGTGGTAATCTAAGTCCGGTATTGCTTCTTTTAATCGAAATGTGTCATTCAGTCCGAACTTGGCCAGTTTGGTACTTATTGGAGTAATGAGATTCGCCAAACATTGCGCGAGTTTTTGTTGGGGAGAGTTAACCATTGATAGGATTGGTCGTAATGGGATTCCCGGTCTGTGCAATTTGGGCAATTCACACATTCTTGTAAGATGTGAATCCCGAGGTCCAAGTTTAACGAACGTGTTTGTGTCAATCACACCTTTCTTACAGAATCGCCTTAATGTAGCATAGACTGGTTTTGTGACTGGCATGATCTTCCCTCCCTCCACCATATTCACCACATCGTTTGAAACATGTCAAATCTAACCTGACCTCAACCCTTAACCAAACACAAGTCACGCAACTCACTTGTCCACCGCCACCTCGTTCAAATGACTTATTTCAACTCTTATGCATCTTCGTTTAACATGATCATATAGATGTGCGTTTACGACTGAGAGCACGCGACTTTGACGGCCAATATCAATTCGGCCACATTTGTCTTCCTGTGTTGACCATATAATTATACAATTTTTAGGATAACCAAGAGTCCAAACTGCTCGCCTTGATGATGATTGACATTTTCCTGTTTTCTGCGCTATTGTTACTCATTTTTTCCTCAGCCGTAATAAACTTCATCCATCTTGAATTCGCACAACTTACCATTTCACGCGGATAGAGGCCAAGCTTGAAAGACATAAGATTAGGCACTGCCAGAGTTACTGACCATTTCCAAGGTGTGCGATGTCATGGTGACATATATTGACTACGAAAATGTTTCACCAGGATCGCAAATGAATACACAGAACGAGAACTGTTGGTGCCCTATTCAGTTGTACCACTAATTTGCCAGCATCCGATGCACTAAGCGTTATGGGCCCATTGAAACCACAGTTGTTTGTAACTCGATAAGAATTCGGTCTGGTCTCTCTATTAAAAAGCCTCACCATCTATGTTAAACTTGTGCAACGTGGCGAAATTGCTTTGAAATTTCGAAACGGAAACAGACAGACATGGAACAGATGAATGGACATAGAAAATGAACTGGTATCCACAGTCTTTAAGGACTTCGGTTTATACGTTACAAGTACGGTTGATCAGGGGTACGCTATTTACATCAAACAAGGCAAAGCAATCCCAGGTTGTAAGCAGTGAATTAAACATGGTTCAATCGTGTGTTCCCTTAGACAATAACAGACAGTCACACTAGCTGTGCGCGGGTGTAATTCGTGTTCACCTGTTTGATAATCATTGAAATGATGTACCGCGTAGTCCGGTTCGTCTTTATGATGTTCTCACACGGCAGAAAAGTAAGAAAGAAACTGGAGTGGATTAGCAGAAATAACGCAACGATAATCAAGTTTTCCGGTAATATGTATGCGGTACAAAACTTTCCTTAGCTTGTCCAAGACAGAGCGAGAACAGATCAGAATAGCAAAAAAAAATTAATCAGAGGTAAAAAACATTTGTTTGTTTGCCGACGATGTGAGTAAAATTCGATCCCACGAAAAAGAAGTGGTTGCAAGACCGCAAATACACTTGATACAAGATGAATCAAGAGGATGAACCTACACAACTCCAAAATTAAGTTATCTCATTCATCTTGTGATTTATGCATATAGTGGAGCGAATTCAAATAAAAAACCTAGAAATGAATTTATCAAATAAACGTCTTGAACATTCCGTTCTGTTCACAGGGTGCATGATCCAGTGACTTACACACTAGCGCCTAATGGACTACGATTTCCATATATCACTATTTTATATGACGAATCAGGCTTTACCTGTGAAAATTTACGTTTTGACGGGGGGTGGGTGGGAGGACCTGAAAATATTCCGCAAATGAACGCATCATGCTTGATGTTTTTTCATCAAGATTGCTGTTTTTTAGCACAGTTTACACTGAGGCGTGTAAACTATAACGTCGCATCTTGAAAATTCCGAAAGGCATCGACCAATACGATATTTAAGATTTTCAATAACCCAAAAGAAATTCCCATGGAATTCGAGGATGGTCGGAACTCACATTGACTAATTTTACATCAATTTACATGAATATTTTAGATCACGATTTGTAGAATGTACCGCTAGCTTAATTAACTCAGATTGCTATCAAGTAATCCAATACATCGGATTTTGAAGAGGAGTGCTTTAGTTTTAGCTGCTTCCAACTGACATTGGCATTCGGGAATAGAAAAAAAGCTGGTAACGAGCATACACAACACTTACATAGAGTTGCGGTAATGTTGTCTGCCTGTACTTCTCATCCGACATGCGCAATACAATACGACCATGGAAAGCCAGACGACAGGCATTGGTTGATGTGCTGTCCAATCTTGCCCCAATCACCAGACCGCCTTCAGGACAAATTAGAGCACGCTCGAAATCTAGAAGAACCCAAACTTCACGTTCGGCAACATCTGGTGCACAAAATCAGAAGCAACCAAACTTCAGTTATTGTTGGAGAAAGCGCTCTTCTGAAAATCATTAAATAATGTGATTTATATCATTCTGTTTGACAGGTGAATAGCCATTAAAACGTACATTTGTCAAATTGAATACTACCTACCGCAGTAACGAGGATGAATTAGAGAAGTAGAGAAATCGTTGAAAATGTCTATGCCTCACGGCTTATGAGGCGAGAAAGAATATTTACTCAATACTGTATTATCAACTTATTTTTTCAGCGGGCACACACAAAGGCCCTGAACTAAAAACTGTGGATAATTCCCGCAATATTACCGTTAAACAGGACTGAGTAAAGAGCGGCAGAATAAGCGGAACATCATGAAGATTCACTGCTAGCCTGGGAGATTTGTTAACATAAGGAGTGTGACTGAGAGTTATGTACACAGGGGCTATTTGGGCAAGCGCGGCATCAAACCTGCCAATCACCAAAGGTAGACGTTGGCGGCAGGATTCGACTCTTGGGTCAGCGCTAAGGATACGGCCATGACACCGGCTAATACCTCCGTATTTGCATTTACTAGTTATGATTACTGATGAGTAGTGTAACACTGAATACACAATATATGTAAAAACACTGCATAAACATTTTTAGATGGTGTATGTTTGGATCAGCCCACTCAGTTTTTCACAGGACTCGAACCACGAACATTTAGGTCGGGACTTCAAACCCTTACCCGTGAGCTACACTGTCGATGACCATCACCTTGTGCGAATGGCTCACTCAATTTTAGATGGTGAATGTTTAGATTAGTCTATTCGGTTTTTCACAGGCACCAGGCACTGTTGACGATGTTCGATGTGGATTTCACTCCTTGGGAGATCGTTCATTCCCCACTATTTAAATGCATTTGAAGTGCGGTTGAAACTTTTGCGCCTGGTTCCTTTGGAAAACCGAATGGACTAAACCAAAACATTCACCATCTAAAATTGATTGAGCCATTCGCACAAGGTGATAATCGTCGACCGTGTAGCTCAGGGGTAAGGGTTTGAAGTCCCGACTCAAATGTTCGCGGTTCGAGTCCTGACAGGGTCGAAAAGGTGCACACTGCTGAGGAGTCCCAAACAGGACTAAACAGCTGTCCTGTGCTCTTTGTCGGTTATCACAAGCATTTCTACTGTATTAACAGCTTATTTTAAAGTAAAATCTAACTGGAATGAAACTCAGCGTAGATACCATGTATTACAAGGACCATAAGGTTGAGCGAAATACCAGGATTAGAAACATGAAAGGAAATGGCCCAGTGGTAACAAAGAGCATCATCGATAAAATCCACGAAGCGATGATAGCGACAAAAATGAGGTCAGGAAAATGGCGCGAGTACAATTAAATGCGGCAAAACAGACGATATTTTTTAAAATCGACCCAAGAAAAGGCATACGTGAAAATCATGTGTAATAGTGAATAAGGAGAGGTCAAAAACACAGGTTTGCACAATGTCTCCCGGATCAACTCGCAGCATCTGTACACTTGCACACTGCGGTTTGTGATCATCAACATGTGACCAGAAATTACAGGAACACGGTGAATGATTTTAACCGTATTTTTTTTACCAGCCTACGACTTTGTAAATTCTGACCATATGTTGATGATCACATAAACCGAAGTATACATGCGTATAGACGCAGTGAAATTATTCAGAATAGATTGTGACAAAACTGTTTTTGACTTCTCCATTCAAATTCGTCACCGGGAAAATCTGCTTCCTATAAGGAGAAAAAATTCTGGCAAAATCGTGAATCAAAAATCCAACGTCATCCAGTTCTTTCATTTCAGAAATACCAGGTAGGTCCTTGATTTGCATGTTCCACCCGAAGTCGCAGACATTATTAGCAAACATGCAGTCAACCTCTGATAACGACGTTATCATACAATAAGGGAGAATCCATTTCGGTAGGGCAAGCATCAATGCAGAATGAGTTTACATGACGAGGTTTCTACTTGAACTCCCACAAGAAGTTCACTGATTTGTCCGGATTACACAGAATGCGATTCGCATCTTTGTGAAAACACGCAAGCTGTTGAATGGCGAACATGTGGCTAATCGCTGAACAGCTGGAAGCAGTAGCATCAGTTATCAACAATCTAGAGAAAACATCAACTGCA